ATATGAGTTGAAATGACTGAACTACATATGTGCTTACAGAGCGGGTGGGAGCGGGTGGGAGTGGGTGTGGGTGGGTGTGTGTGTGTGTGTGTGTGCGTGCGTGCGTGCGTGCGTGCGTGCGCGCGTGCGCGTGCGCGAGTGTGTGTGTGTGTGTGTGGGTGATCATGATGCTGCCCTTGCGTCAGATGAAGAACAGCAGTATGACAAGCAGCAACAGGCACTAGCAGCAGGAGCCCTTTAATGTAGACAAATGTAGACCCAAGAGCACAAGTAACAATCCCGCTAATCCAAGGGCCACGAAGGTATGGCTGGTGGACAGAATCCAGCACGACTATACAGTATTTGTTCGCTGTGCCAACTAAGGAAGGGGGTGGACGTGCTTTCACCGTCTTGCCTTGGACCCAAAGAAAACCAAAAACATGCGCGCCAGGCCTCTAAATCGTGCACCCCGGAACAGTCTTCCCTAAACCCTAAACCCTTTCGTATCAGATCCCAAGCCCGGAACCTCGCGCCGCTCTTTCGACGCCCAGGGCAGCAGACCACAACATGGATGGCAAGCTGAGCAGAGAAGAGCCGCATGGTAGGTTCGAATTATGTGCTGCTTCATTTGGGAGTTTCCGGGAAATTAGGGGTACCTGATTCTAGGGTCCTTATAATAAGGATCCTACTATTTAGGGTACTATATTAGGGTCCCCTATTTCCCCCATTTAGGTGTCCACATCTTCTGTTATTTTTTTGCAGATAGTTTCAGTTGTAAGAAATTCGTGCGTGTCGATTCTCATATGTTCTGGATGTTCGGGCATACGCGGCTGTGTCGTTAAAGGAAAAATGGAAGCTACACTGCTACACACTTCAGAAGCAGCCAGGTACTTGAAGGGCACGGGAATTCGAAAACAAAGTAGATCCAGCAGGAATGCAGGGCATATGGTACGTTGGAGGTTGCTCGGGGGTTGGAGGGGGCCGCAGCAGCAGCAGCAGCAGCAGGAGAAGAAGTAGAAGTCGCATTAGTCGTCGTAGTGGTAGTCGTCGCCGTAGTAGTACATGTGTTCCCTCCAGGACTCTAGGAAGAATTTATGCACTTGATCAGGCAGCCCACAGCCCGGAACTAGTCTCATTGAGACCCTCGTCATGAAGCCAAAACCCCGTACCCGAGAACTCCAAGAACGACGCCAATCGACCCCAATTCGGATGTCCAAAAAGAAGTATCATTGGTTGGTTTCTGGAGGCATCACAGGATGACAGATACCGCAACTATTCCCTTCATTTCTAGATCCTGCGACTGGCTCTTGGACCCCAACCCCTTTCCCCCTCCCTCCCAAACCGTAGATCGTAGAACAACGGCATCACGAGGGCGAAGAGGCGACTCCCAATCTTCTCTCACTCTGAATGTGCTGGTTCGAAATAGGTACCTGACATGTGGGTGTGATTGCGGAGATTTGAACTATCGATGCTCTGTTCTGGGGGGTGGTGTGATACAGTTGGATTCTGAGCTAGGCTGCGGTTGTGGTTGGTAAGGATGTACGCTGGAGCAGCTGACCCTGCGCTGCAGGAGAAGGTAGGTACACTAGCTGACCCAGCGCCGCGAACGAGAAGATAGGGAGCTAGGTTACGATGCATGCGAAGCAGAAGGTAGCTAGCTAGGCTCTGGCAGTGGGCTAGGATGTACACCCTAGTACACCCACATACACCCTAACCCTAGACTCAGAGCCACAACCTCGAATCTCAGGCCTTTGCAGGCTCCTGAGAACCCTCGGTCTCCAAGTCCTAAACCCTGATGAGGGTCCCAACAAGCGCCTAGGCTGAAGGCCATCTTCCAGAAGGTCTCTAGCTGGGATGTGCTTTGGATGCGCAGAGTTTCGGAATTACGGCCATTCTAAGGTTTGGGACCTAAGCTGACGGCTTGGAGCCTTGGGTTTCAGCAGCCTTACCAATTCTGCAGTGTCCTGCTGCAGTTTCTACCATTCCCTGTCACACGTCGTCCATAACTGCTAGATGCTGCTAGATCCTAAACCCTGGGTCCCTCTTTCGATTTGGGGCTCATGGGTTCGCAGAACGGATGCAGGCGCGAGGCCCCTCGAGGAAAGGCTCCTGGTAGAGGCCATGCCCTCACAACTACACTGCCAAAACCTCCGAAGTCAAGAACCCTTTGTGACACGGCTAGACCCCAGCAGTGTCGAAACTAGCACTGCTCGATTGAAACGCGCCGAAATACGTATCGCGCAGTGCGACCTAAAGCGCGTTCGAGTTCTTTAGGACCCATTCCAGATCCCCGTTTTCCTCGGGGTTCAGGGGGTCTGTGAATGCAGGCTCAGAGCAGGTAACCCTTCACCGCCTTAGGAGACATCAGGCCCAAAGGCGACGTTTTTGTTCCTACGGACTAAGTAGGTTCATCTTGTCTCCTGTATGAGGGTGAGATGATCGACCTCCTCCTGGATGAATGCAACTTAGCTGCGAGGTGCTGTGCCTTTGCTGTGTGTGCGCCAGTGAGAGGTGTTTGCTCTACAAGGGTTTCAGGGCTCCAGGGTGTAGTGAAGAGGCCTTGAGCCTGTAGAGACTAAAGAGTGTGGGGCCTTGCTGCTTTGAAGTTTCACTAGTGTTAAGGATATATGAAAATACAGACTGCTTGTGCAGGGTTTCACGCAGTTCTGCGGTCCTTCCTACATGGTAGACGCACTGAGATAGGCATCCAGAGGCTTCAGCAGCGCAGGCAGCGTTGATCTGTTCGGGTCGAGAATTCATGCGGTAAACGGTAAATCATGAGGATGATAGTAGGGTGATAGTAGGACCTGGCTCAGGAAGTACGAGCGATGCACGGATGCACGTCAGAAGCCAGAAGCAGCAGTTTGACGTGAAAGGGAGCTAGGTGTCCTGCAGGAGGCTTCCCCTGAGGATCTCAGCCCCCTGAAGGGCCTAAGCCCTCAAGTTGCCCTATGTCAAGTTTATGACACGACAAAGGCATGGGTTCCTTTCCCGATTCCTTTGTGCCCATGGTAGAGAGCCTCCGCGCTGAGGCGATTACAACAAAGACGGCCAGCTCCAAGTGCGCGAGTTCATCGACTTCATGTTTAAAGGCCCCTTTGTGGGTTTAGGGGTTTAGGGCAGTTCGAGCGGTCTGGGCACTCTGTGAGTCCAGAGGAAGGCCGTGGCGTTGAAGCGGTTTGGCAGACGCGAATCGGTCGAAGAGGGGTTCTGGTTAGCGTAGACTCCTGCCAACCTTCAGGTACTACGCAGGGAGGAACCGAATCCTTGTTCTAACGGCGCGTGCAGAGAGGATTTAGTCAGGAAACCCCTTGCCCACTTTGGCCAATAGCATCTCAGCATGCGGAGGCAGGCCCAAAGTGTTTGGAGTGCAATCAGGGATTTGTTTTGCAAACAAGGTCCCCGTTAAGGATCATGCTAAAGAATTCAAAGCCTGTCCGGCTTCCAGCCAGCGCCTCCGAGGACAACTGTTTAGGGCTTAGGGAAGGCCTTGCAAACTTGCACCCTCAACCCTCAACCACACTATATGCGGGTCGGAACCATCCCCTTAGCAGTCCCTGCATGTGTTTTGTGCAGCTCTTCATTCTTAGCCACGGAAGCCCTGGGCCCTTAATTGTACTCCGGGATCCTGGGATTCCGGCTTCAGCTTATCGCTTTCAGGGTTGTGGGGCCTCGCCCTGCTCCCCCCTACACCCTAAACCCTTGAAAACTGGTTTCGTGCTCATGCCCTGAAAGGTGCCAAGATGGAGCCTCGCCGGCTTGGGGGTTTCGGGTTCCGGGCGAAGGTGGAGTTGAGTTTATTCTTGAGGATCGGGGGTGAGGGGGAAGAGTTGCAATTCTGATTGTCCCGGCGTTGGGATGTTGTTTGCACATGTGCCCGTCGAAAGATACTCGCCAGCAGAAACGTGGGAATGGGAAGCTATTTTGTTCCGATGTAGCTGCGTCAACAGCTCATGCTAAGAGCGGTAGTGAGTTGTTCCTAACACTTACCAACAGCAACGGCATCAACAGAAACAACGAGAGTAGTGGTGGTCGCCGGTACCTGTGGTAGCAGTAGCAGTAGCAGTAGCAGTAGCAGTAGCAGTTGTTGTTGTTACTGTTGTAGCAGCAGCAGTAGCAGTAGTAGCAGTAGCAGTAGCCGCAAGTGGTAGTGTTAGTGGTAGTCGTTGTAGTTGTTGTTGTAGTCGTGGTGGTGCTAGTGGTATCAGTAGTAACTAGTAGTCGTCGTCGTCGTTGTCGTAGCAGTAGTAGGAGCAGTAGGAGCGGGTGGCAGTGGTACAGTGTCGCATATGCGACTGTACGATATTGTGCTCATCTAGGAAGTCGGTCCGTATTGGCACGAAGACAGTAAGAATATCGACGGTAGGAATAGTTGTCCTAGCAGCTTTATCAGTTTGCCAACAGAGCCTGTCATCACAAGTCCCTCCAGAAGCAATAACAGCTGCAAGACGAAAGAGCAGAAAGGAACGATGACATATGTAGAACCTTTAGCAACATGGCGACAAGCAAGGATGATGGCACAACACAGGGCCACGGTGGCCAGGATTGGACAAGATCAAGACAAAGACTAAAGCACCATGTTGCTCAACACGGTGATGAAGATGCTGATGATGGTGATCATCATGAGGATGATGATGATGATGATGATGGTGATGACGATGGTGATGGTGATGGCACTGGTAAAGGGGCGATGATGGTGGAGCAGATGATGGGGAGGAGGAGAAAGAGGAGCAGGAGGAGGATGGTGATAGACTGCATGACGATTCTGCAGCTGTTCCGGCTGCTCCTGTCGCTGGCACTACTACCAAGTGTGAGGCTGGTGGTGAGCCTGATGATCTTGATCATTTTGCTATGGTGACTCATTCACAAGAAGACCACTAAAACGGCAGCAAGTGCAGGGACAAGGGCTCATCGTAAGATTTGTGCAGACACTTTGAGAGTGGCGGGGGAGCACCACCGACACACTACAACGACAGGGCCCGCGAAAACGAGCAACCCAGGCGCCTGTGAACCTTCTCTCCGCTCGCCTCTGGAACTCCAACGATTCTGTGCTTTCAAAGGAGCGAGAGGAAAGAAAGAGGCCCCTGACAGTGATCCGGATCATGGCTATGCACCAAGCATACTTCGAGGAGACAGCGGGGGAAGGTGTTTATACGTTTGTTGGTTCAGTTCAGTATTCAGGGCTTAGGGCAACCGAGGTTCCACCGAGAAACTGTTGCTGTATGTTTGGTCACTATATGGTACGCGGGTCTCTAGAGTAGGGTCCCTCTGAATTCCCATAAAATACCCATTTTTATTTTTTGAAGGGCCCCTAGAAAAAGGGGCCCTAATGTAGAGAACCGCTCATATGTGAGGGATTTAGGGAGTCTCACGTTCTGAAGAAAACTCGCCACCACGGCACTCGAGTAGTTCGTAGTGATGTCCCCGCCTGATATCCCTTAAAACCCTGTTCGAGTTTAATTGTTGAGTCACCTATGTGAGGGGGGATTTTCCCTGGATGCTTAGTTTATTACTGGCTTCCTTGAAAGGTAGCAAACCGATGCCCCCCCCCCCCTCCTGTTACCAACCCCCCAAAAAGGCATCGAATCCTGGAGTTTGGTTGGGGGCCCCAGTTCGTTTCGCTGCACATCCCGAAACCAGGTCCGGACCTAAAAGGGCTGTCGTCGGAAGGACCTGAAACCTCGCTTCGATGACTTCTTTCACAAGCACGGGATCAAGAACATCGATCTCAACTACGAAGAAGAGTGGGAGAAGGTGCCTTCGCCTGGGCCGAATCAAGCAGTCTGCTGCATCAGAGTCTTTCTTGCAGCCTAAAAGGCCAATACTCCTAAAGCACGAACCAGTAATCCCCGAAAGCACGCGAAGCCAAAACACTCAGACGGAGATGGCCCTGAGTGCTCCTGGAAAGCTCCTGCGACGTCAGGCACTGCCGTACTGCAAGGAGAACGAAGCTTTTGCTGCAGTCAGTGAGCTTCAGGTTTGCGGGTGCGGAGGCTTCAGGTTTCGGGGTGCTTACACCCTACTGGAAGTCTGCGCCCGCACGCTGCGAGAATTCCAGATCCAAGCAGGCTCCCCCAAGCAGGTGCACCAAGCATGCCCGAAGACGAAGACAGGCCTCATAGCTCGGTTGAAACACAGGTCGGGAGACGCCGAGAGCCGTCCAAGTGAAGTGAATTGGGGGCTCGGTTCCCAAAGTTTGCACCATAAATGGAGTCAACGAAGATTGAATATGATTCTATTTTGGCGGCTGAAGCTGAAGTCTGTATAGCAGCCCACTGGGGCGAACTCGCAAGGCAAGGCCAGGGCGTCCACAACAATATCAAGTAGGTCAAGAACGATCAGACAAGGGCTGCGCATGGGAGGAACAAACTTTATCGCCCAGACTTCAACTTCACCCCTAGACCCGAAACCAAAACCCCTGAAGCCATTGGCCGTTCAGCCCAAACCAAGGAAGTGGATGTTCTGGTGGTTAACTCGGATGCCATCCGCATCGCAGTGGGCGATGATGCCACCCTCTGGCAGGAACGTGACATGTGGCATGTCTGAATACGACAGATCGTCGAGTCAAGGTCAGTGCAGTTCAGGGACGGTGTCGAGCATGGCCTCGTACAGCAGCTGCTCCACCAAATGCTGTAACCCCAAAATTGCCTTCAACCACAGGGGTACACGTTCACACTCCTCACTGGAATCAGCCAGCCCTGCCTCGAAGCCAGGTGAAATCATTTGCAAGATCAGAGTCAAAAGCAGCTGAAAATGTAACGCCATCTCAGATCATCTGCCATCTCCAAGACAACCTCCTGCTCCTCCTCCTCGTACTCCTCCTCTAGGTCGTCCCTTTATGTCCTTATGGCTTGTTCGAGAGAAAGCAGGAGCTTGTGATTCGTGCATTCAGCCACCTTGGACCAACATACTTCTCAGCGAACAGCAGACACCACCACACCTCGACTATCACCAAAGTGCAACATAGTCACATAGTCCTCGCACAACCAGCAAGTGCACAGAGGGCCTAGTTCGAACAATAAGACCTGGCCAGTCTGCAAACTACACGGCATATCATTCCAGCCCAGCAGCTCGGTCACAGAACTCGTTTGTGCGGTAATGATGTGGTGTGTACTTTTTAGGGTTTAGGGTTTAGGGGTTAAGGGTTTAGGATCGTACTTATCAGAACTCTGGCATGTCCTCCATGGCGGCTGTTGTGACAATGAGGTGGCTGGACAAGCGCGAAATTCCCGAGGACTGCCTGCTTCGCAAGAGAAAGCCTAGGCCTAGTCTGGGCGCCTCCACGTACATTGGCTTTGGGGGTTTTTTGAGAGAACCATAACAATACTAATTTAGTAGTAGTAATAGTAGTAATACTCAGAATACTAGAAAATATAATTGTTGCCTTCATGCTGCTTGTAATATCGAAAGGATGCCAAGTCCGCGGGATGCGGTATGACATGCGGCCATGGTATTTGGACAGTCCTCAGCAAGAAACGTCTACCTTACACTTAGCCGTGAGGCACTACATTATTAGCTCAGCCTCTCAGCCCCTCATGCAGGAGAAGCTGTTTCAGATCATGCCGTGACCTGGCTTGGCTGAGAACTTGAGCCGGTAAGCGGGCAGCGCTCAAGGGCTGTGTTTCAAGGGGGGTGTTTTCCGAGCTTGGATAAGACTGATGGTGAAGAGTCGAGCTGCTAGATCCTGCTCCCTGAACCTGAGCCCCCAAACCAGAGACTTCCTTGCGCATGGGTCAGGTTTGTGGAGGAAATCATCAAAAAGAGTAAGAACCCGGTCATCGCCATTCATCCTTGGCTAAAGGCCGGCTGCCGTGACTGGGAGGTTCAAGCTGTAGAAAAGGTGCAGTCCTTTCCGTTTCGGACCTCTTCGTGTCAAATACCCTGAGCCTGGCTGACTCGACCGAAGAGTAGCCCTAAATTTCCAAAGCTTCCGGAAAAGAGCCGCCCCCCAGCAAAGCATCCCAAACCGCATCCTCGCAGTAGAAGCCATGACATCAGCAACACCACTTTTCCTCTGCACCAGTATGACCAGGTCCCTGAGTGGTACACTTTTGCCCTTTTGATTTTAGGGCCCCCTTATTAAAACCGAATAGTAGGAAAAGGGTACCCTTATTATAAACGGGCTACTCAGGAACCAAGATGAACCACGCAAGTTACATTGTGAATCATAGTGCGAATGCGATGAGGCTTTCGGAAGAAGGAATCCAGATTCCGGTCGTTTGATGCGATACGTGTCTCTGCCTTGCCTTCTCTAATTATTCCCCCATTGAAGGTTGAACAATTATTATGATTATAGTATCGTAGACCCCAACACCCTGTTCTAAGTATTAAGGCCCCTATTCGGACCTTCTCCTCCCCGAGGCCACAGCTGTTGAGTGGCTCCCTTGGGGGGCCATCCACCCCTGGGGCCTAAAAGGCATTTAGGCATAATAGGGCCCTTAAGTAGGGATTCTTGGGATTATGGCCTTAAGTAGTGTTTTTTTGGAGATTATATGCCATATTGCATTAGAGGATTAGAAAACCGGGGAGGGTGGGGTGTCTGGCAGCGCAGATCCTCGGGTACAGCTGCAGCACTTCCGATCACCAAAGCAGAATCCGACACAAGCCTGAGACTAGGTCGAGAGCAGACTAAGAGCAATGGAAGTAGGGCTATAAGTCAACCAGCATGCTCATCGCGATCAGGCTCCGAATGGCCCTTTTGTCACTGTCCAAACCCTGAAGTTTGAAGCCTAAGAGACCTTTCGACCCTTTCAACCGCCAAAACTCCCGAAGCCCCCCTGTCCAAAGGAGGTGAAGTCCCAGGACGCATGCCTGGATCGGATTACTTCCCAACTCCGAGAGTGGCGGGATGGCATCAAGGCCGTGGCAAAGCCGAGAGTTTACGACACGTTTCTGTAAAACCCGCAACCCATGAACTCCAAAAAAAAACGAGACCGACCCTAAACCCGCCTACACCCTGAATCCGAAGTCCTAAACCCTAAACTCTCTACGACAGGAATTTGAAACAAGCCAGAAAGCTCCTCTAAGAGCCACCAAACCCCATACTTGTCAGACCCTTGTGTTCGTTTTTCAGAGGCCAAGCTGAAGAACTACGGAGACCGCTTGGCGCAGAAGGAAAGGTTCGAAGGTCGGGTCAGCCAGGGCCCCTGGCAAGAGCCGCTTTTATAGGGTTTTGGGCATTTTTCAGGGTGTGCTTACAGGGCTCAAAGGGTGCTGCAAAATGGAGGTTTCTCGGGTTTAGGGGCTTCTTGGTTCATCTGGGACCTGTGGAATTCACCAGAACGGTTTATGAAAATTACAAGTCCCTCTTGTATGAAAGATAGGTGCTCTACTAAGGTGATTGTTCTTCGGGGGTTGTTTGTTTAGGATACCTTAGCTTTCTGGAACCCACATGTGGGGGAGGTTGCCGCCTTTGTTCGAATCTGGGGAAATTGACGCTTACTGCTGCTGCGCAGTCTTCTGATTTGCACTAGCTGCCTTCAACTCTGGCACTTCTGGTACGTTGCTTGTCAACGTGCTTTCCGGAGCCATGATTGGGACCTGTAATTGCAGAAGCCCTGTATGAAACCCTGTCAAGCTTCAGCCCCCGCAGTGATGGATTTTGCAGCCCATGGGTGTTGGGGCTAGTTCGGGTTTTCGTGATGTTGGGCTTGGGGACTTTAGGGTCACAGCTTTCGCTTTGCAAACCTTTGGCGTGTCGAGGCTTTCAGATTCCAGCAGCTCTGGGGTTTCTGGAAATTCGGGGACCCGGAAACTCTTACGGTGCCCTTACAGAAGCCCTCTGAACTTCAGTTACCCATATGAGAACCTTGTGCAGTACCCCTACACAACCCTTCCATCCTCAAGCATCGTCGGCGCCTTGCAAAGCCGAAGCTCAAGGTGAGATGGAGGCCTTGATCGCCGAGTCGGAAGCTCGAGAGGCCGAAGAAAAGGACCCGGGCCCGCCAACGGGCTTAATTAGAATTCTGTTGTTTGGATTTCGGGTAGGATGTTGGGTGTTTTGGGGTTTAGGGTTTGCGCAATGTTCCTTTTAGGGGTTTTTTGCTTTTGCGGAACTTCACGGGGCTTCTGGTTTTAGGGGTTCAGGGTTCAGGATTTTGAGGCTACTGTTGGGTTTCAATTGTTATTGGTGTTTTGGGTTTAGTGTGGTGATGGATCCCAAACCCTTCGAATATGGGTCCCGTATAAGGAAAGCTGATGACTATGAGAATGAGAGCCGTCTTCTTCGAGTCCCTCTAGTAAGGATCCCTACAACGAGTTCTTCTTGAACTCAATGGACCGTGTCTCTGCATTCATTGCTTGGGACGCCCCCGCACCCTCACTTTCTTCTGAGAAACCCATGAAGCCACAGTTTAGGGTTTTTAGACTTTAGCTCGCATCAGCCAACTCCCCTGGAAGGAGAAAGACATTGCTGCTTTCAGGCGACGTGAGACGAACTTCTCTGCGGTGAGGGAAGCGCTGCACCCCAAAACCTCGAAACCCTGTCCACAGCCCTACTGCGCTGAAGCCCCAAGCCCGAAGTTTAAACTCAGAGCTTGGAAGGCCGCTCTTTCAACAGATCGTGGATGTCGCGGGCTGGGATGAGAAGCGGGCAGCGAAGGTGTTCGATCACCTCGTCCGAGGAAACCTCTATACGGAGCCCTGGTGCACGTATGCTAAGCTTGGAAGTAAGAGTAAAATACCTGGAAACTAGCTGCTCACACCCAGGAGACATGGTACATCGAAGCCTTCACCGAGGGAAGCGTTGAGAAAGAGTTGGAGAAGATCAACGCCTCCAGGTTTTGAATTCATCGTTTGGGACCTCAGGGTAGCAAGAATAAGAACTGACTCCTATCTAACGCCAGCATCTCAGCAGACCCCAAACTACTGAACCCTGAGACCTCGAAAGCCCAGATCTTGCAGCTTTGCTTAGTGTCCTCCAAGGCCACAGCCCAAAAGTCTTCACCAAAACGCTCGACTTAAACGCGTCCTCAAATCCTAAACTTTACCCGCTGAAACCTCAGCGTTCTGCGTGGAAAGGTCCAGATGTTTCCAGAGGAGGAGATGTCAGTATTGACCGACTTTGCATTCGAGCATGCCGCTTGCCTGGTCTCTGGTGATTTGGGTATGCTGATGTGTTATCAGACAGGGTTGGTGGATTCAGTAGATTCTTTCGGGCAGCGTCGCCCTCAGTCTCATGATCATGAGGAAGATTGCAGAGACGATAATCAGCACCATCCATACTTGCGGGGTTCATCCTTCTGCGGTGGTCTCATTTCGGTTTCATGCGGATCCTTGTGTTGAAGACTTGCAGATGTGACAAAGGTAAGGTAAGCCCAACTCGACGGCCAAATCCCAAAGCCTTCACTGCAAAGCACTGAAGTATAAATCCAAGCCCGGGGCAGCACTCCTCCAACAGAAACTGTTGCTCGTCGCCCAGAACGAACTTGCAAAGACCGTGAAGTCCTTGGCGTCCAAGACGGGGTGGGACTTGAAGGACCAGCAGCAGGTCTGCCACTAGAGGTTTCTTGGGAAAGGTGGAGTACCAGGGTGTAGGGCGTGGGTGTTCGGATCACGGATAGGGATCAAAAGCAGAAACGTAACTAACAGAACAGAGGAAGGAAGGAAGGAAGGAAGGAAGGAAACGAACAATCAAGGAAGGAAGGAAGGAAGCAAGGAAGGAAGGAAGGCAGGCAGAACAAGAAAAGACGGGAAAGAAGGAAGGAAGGAAGGAAGGAAGAAAGGAGGGAAGGAATGAAGATATACATATGTGTGTATATATATATATATGTATACAATAGGGCTCGGAACACGCTCTCGAGACGAGCGATAGCCGTTGCCCCAGCACACCAGTGCGCTTTCGGGTAGCTTCGAGCAATAAAGCACCCATACTCACCGAGCTGGCACAGAAGGGCGCGGGCACGGCGCTCTTCTATTAGAGCTTCTCTTCGCCGGGGCGTTGACCCTGGGAGACGAGCTCTTTGTGTTCTTGCAAGGCATCACGCCACAGGTCCTGGACAGTTCCGCACCTTGCTGCGGCTGATGGGACGAGGAGATAAATGGAACCGACCGCAGCAGAGCGGTCACTACGAGCAACCTCGGCCGCCATACCACGGTGGACACGGTGGGAGACAAGAACCTCAAAGGCCGTGGCGGGTATGGCCTGGAGCATTCTCTCCATCTGGACGTTGGCCGAAGTCGGATACGCCGACTTTTCCTCGGTACGATGCAAGGCCACCACCTCCCTCGCACCGCAACCAGGACTACGCCAGTGGCAAGGAGGCTCAGCCAGAGGAGCCTCGTGGTGGGCTGGTGAGCGATGTACAGCATTTTATCAATATGGCGAGAAAGGCCGAGGGCAGAGTGAAATCGCTCACTCAAAACAGACGGCAACGCGAAGCCCAATGGGAAAAGTATGTCCTCGACATGAAGGCTACGCTCCAACACGAACATCAACGACACCAGCAGAGCTTATCGAAACTGGACGAAGACCTGCAGCTTGCTTACCAGCATCAGGAGGAGTCTCGTACCCGCTTATGACACGTGATCGAAGTTTCCATGGGGAAGCGACTGCCGGAAGCCGGCAGGCCCAGCGATCAGCAGTGGGAGAATATGGTGAGCCAATGGGAGCAGGAGTCCATCGAGCGATGCAATCCTCTGGAGGTTGTGCGACGTGCATACACGGCAAATCCCCCACCGGACTTTGGTGTGAATCCAGTCCCTATGCCGGCAGGTGCCAACATGGCGCCGAACACACAGGTGGATTCATCTTTTGTTTTGGACCCTTCATGGGGTCCGGGACCTCCCTCTTTAGCTCCGAGTGCGCCGCCGCCTGTTCCACCGCCACAGCCTACACCACCGGATGTTTACCCTGGATCAGGAGTTCCATCGACGACGGCACCTACAATTCCGCCGCCTCCAGCACCACATGGGGTGGGTGCCTCTCCGGGTGCGAGAGAACGAGCTGACGGAGCAAGAGGAGCTGTGAAAGCCAGAACTCCACCACAACGTCAGGATCCAGGTCTATCTCTGAGTGCCAAGTTGGAGTCCAAGAGGCATGCACTCAAACCCTTTGGTGGAGCGGGATCGAATGCGACCGAAACTGGACGGCCAGGACAGGCTGCAGCACCTTCGGACGCCCCGCCGGATGGATCTGGTGGGCTCAGTGCCGTACCGGAGAATGGCCCGTCTTCACTCGAGGAGAAGGATACCCAGATGGAGACACACGACCTCTCGTGATTGAGGCGGAACACCCTGGCGAGCAGGGTCCTTTGCTGGGAGGTGCTTGCAGGCTTTGGGAACCAGAGGATGGGAAAGAACCTTGGTGGTTTGTTCTTTCCAATCTTAAGTCTTCCCCAGGTCAATGCAGCTCGTCCCGTGCTCTGGATCCAGCTGCTAGGAGGGTGTTCCAGGACTTCTTTTCGGCTGTACAGTGGAGTGAGCTGCTGTACATATATGCAATAGTACCTTCTTGTGCAGTGGATCGTTGGCCTTGCACCTCATCGGGCATTAGGTGTTTCTGGTTCCTTTGGGTTTGTGGAGCCGGCGACCCTAGTGACCCTTCTTCCTCGCGAAGGTTGCACACTCATTGGTCTTGCGTGTGTGTGTTTGCCTTCCCATGCCTCACGATTTCCTTTTAACAGTTGGATCCGTGCCAGCTTTACTGAATGCTAGATGGAGCCATTTGAAGTGCTCCAGGGCTGTCTTTTTGCAAGGAGACGTAGCGGTGCCAAACAAGTGTATCGGTGGCTCTGGGACACTGACCGGCTTTCGTCGTCCTTTCAATGACCTCTCCAAGGCACAGCTTCTTGCTTGCATCGCTGGCATTGTCGTGCCCTTTTTCCATTGCCTTCTGTGCCTTCTATCGTTGGCTCTAGTTGGCTTGCTTTGCGGGTGCTTTTTCAGAAGCAAATCCATTCTTGCTGTTCACCCGCACTCCCGCACGGCACAATGCTTGATAAAGCCTCTCGGCTTTACCTCTGTTAGTGCTCCTGTTCTATCCTGGAGTGTGCATAAACGAGACCGGGCCTGCCCAGCACACAAGGCTAGGACTCGAGGCATTGCCCCATTTTGGGTTAGGTGGTTGATTGCGGTCTTCGGGTTTTGCCATTTGCCAGTTCAGGTTTGGGCTGCACCTGAAGACACGAGACACTTTCTCGGCGCTGTCCCGTCCATCATCCGAGGACTGCCAGAGCTTCTCGATGCACCTCGGGGCAGTGGCCCCTTCGTGCCTCAACAGTATAATCAGATCAACGATGAGGATGTGATCAGACTTCCCTCAGAACAGACCTGGATAGATTCCCTCCACAGCCAGGATTCAGGTCAATGGATCGGTGCTAACATCTATGCCTGTGGTTATCGGGAGGTTAGTCTCGGTTTATGGGTTCAAGGTCAGCCGTCCCTCGCAGGGACCACAGCCAGAGTGTCTCGGGAAGTTCGTGATCTTCTCCCATGCCTTGACGGCCTCGCCCCTGTACAACCTCAGCGTTCCTGTGGGTCCGTCGATTTCCTTGCTTATCCGACATGCTCTGGCAGATGTGGGCTCGTCCATGTCATTGTTGATTTGACCTCTGTTGGAGGGCATTACTTTGCAGATGCCGTCCCAGAGCAGATCACTGTCCATGATTTTCTTTGCCGATACGCTGACGACGTTAAATATGAGGTTGATCAGATAGGTGTAAGAATAGGACCACAAGCACTTGGGCGCGAACCTGCCGATGCGCTAGATGTCCAGGTTGGCGATGCAATTATTGTACTGCCTGCACCTGTGTCTGTCATTTGGCAAAACCGAATTGAGTCCTTGTTCACGCCGCATCACAAATGGACTCCGCTCCATCTTGTGCCAGGGTCGCCGTTTCGCCCTGGACTTGCCGTGTGGCTACATGGGAAGCTCCATTCCTTTCCCTCCACATTTCAGTGACGGAGATATTCGTGCTCGCATAGCCAAACACACTGGCTACGACCAGCACCGGTTGAGATTAGTCACGTTTCAGGGATTCGATGATTTCTCCATAAAAGGGGAACCTTGTCAAGACATCCTCGTCCCGGTTGGCGCCTTCCTCGACTTCCATTCTCCTGGCGAGGACAGCCGTTCAGTTGCTGTCATTGATGCGCGGGGTGTTGGGCTCTCCATTGTAGCTTGCTGCTTGCCTTGTGGTGTGCCCTCTGCGGCTTGTTGTGCTAATGCCGTAGGCCTGCATGACACCAAAGGCCTCAGGCTTCAGGTTCAAGTACTTGCCAGATCAGGAGATGCAAGCCAAAGTGAAGTGCCTTTCCTTTGCATTCGGCTTTCCGTCATGCTCGAACCGAATCCTCCTGGCAGGCATCCTGAACCACTTGTTGTGCGAGCTCCTTCGTCAGGTGAGCTTGCTGGAGGACTTGCTGATGAGGCAGAGGCGAACGATGACGAAGAGTCTGAGGAATCCTCTGCTGGCCATTCTTCCATCGAAAACACCATTCTGCGTTTTCATGTCTTGTGCGTAGGTCATCAGGCCCGAAAAGTAGAGGTCGCGATTTCTTTGCCGTCCTCTACTCAAACAGCAATCCATGCGATTGAGAGGGAGCTTGACGAGGAATTCTATCGCTTGTTCTCCCTGATTGTTGCCGTCCGGCCTCAGGCCACCCCTGAATGGGGACTTGTCCTTGCTCTCCCTGCTTGGGCGTCACAAGAGCCTGTCTGTGCCATCGATTTGCTTGAAGTTGATGGAAGATTGTTCTCTGCTGTCCTACCATGGCGGCTCACAGTGAGGGACATCGTGATAGCTGCAGATCTTGACCCTGACGGAACATACAACATCTTCCCTGTTGGGAGACAGGCCGCACTTGGACCTGATGAGGATGTCGATCTTGAACTACATGGTCTGATTGTGGTGCGGCCCCAGGGGGTAGATGCGCCTGTTCTCAGACAGCTTTCTGACATGCTTGCAAACGGCTTTGTTTGGGATCTAAGTGCAGAGGCACCTTCTGTGACTCCTTGTCACCGAGTGTTGTGTTATCAGACCGGCAGGCACCTTTCACTTTGATGCCAGGTCGAAGGCAACACTATCAAAATGATCTCTCTCATGTTTTTGGTGTGCCTTTGCACTGGCTCACTGTTCAAGTTGCGAAGCCTCCTGTCCAAGACGCTGAGCTTCACGGCCGAGTGTGCAAAGGCGTTGCCCTCATCTGCGACTGCATACCCAACGTCCCCGTTCCTCCTCGGCGCCCTGGTCCTACTGTCTTTGGTATTGTCCTTGACTGCAGGCCTCTGCTATTGGGCTGGCGACAGTGGATCGTATATGACGGTCAATGCTTACATTCTGCGATTGTTGAGCACTTTGAGCTCTTTTGCCCGGAGGACTTTCAAGTGCAGATTGAGGGTGCGGAACTGCTTGATGACATTCTTGTTGTGTCTCCCGGGCATGTTCGTCTCATTCAGTATGTCCCAGTTACGCCGTTCTCCCACGATCCTGGTCTTCTTCCTGGACATGGGGGAGAGGGCACCACTGTTGAGAATCACAGCAGGGACTT